GTGAAAACACCAGAGGTGAGTAGGAACTCTGAAACACAAAAATAAGAATCTAGAGAAACCTAAAAAGATAAATTTATCTGAGCAACTAGAAGGAACTATATGATAATGTAGAGCTAACATTCTAATAGGGAAAAAAGAACATACATCCTTTGGGAAACTTACTTCTTTGAAAGGTATTGAGGGAATTAAAAGAAAAACGAGTGGGAGGGGATTGGTTCTGTTCTGAGCATTTGAAGAGGGGAAAGAGAAGGGAGGTAAAAGGAGTAACATTAATTTAGAAAAGAGGAAGAAGTGAGTGGAACTTGCTACTTCTCATAATTGGGATATATGAGAAGAATATACAGACATGGAAGAAGGGAAGGAAGGGCATCAGATAAATGTCATTCAGCTGAAACTGACAAAAGATGGTTGAACATCTACACAGTTTGGTGTAGAAATTCATCACACTCAAGAGGAAATTAAATGGAGAAAAGGGAGAGCTTCAGTTAAGAGAGAGTATAATACCAAGGAATCACAAGAAAGCAAGCTTCTTTTTTTTCCTGAAGGGGGATTAAAAGGGGGGGGGATAAAAGAACTAGAATCTAAGGGAATTCCTTAGAGACTCTCTTAGTTTGGGAGCGACTCAACAAATTGTGGTACATGAGTGTGTTGGAATATTATTGTACTGTAAGCAATGACAAAAGAGATTTCAGAGAATCCTTGGTAAAATCATGATTAAAGCAGAATGAAGTGTGCAGAATGATGAGAATAATTTATACAAGACATTGTAAAGGAAAGCTGCTTTGAAAATGCAGTTAAACTCTAGTTTGTCTCCAGAGGACCTATGATGAAGCATGTTACCTACTTGCTGACAGAGAGGTGACAGAAACAGGTGCTGAGGCATACCTTTTTAGACATGGCCATTGCTATGACTCTGGTCATTTGCTGCAAGCATTTTTCTCCCCTTTTTTTTTCTTTTGATAAATTGGGCAGGAGGGGAGTAAGCTGAGGAGGGCATGTTGGCAATAATGGTTCCAAAAATGGGGGCAGACATTTTAACATTAAATCCAGAGAAATGAATAGAAGGAAGTTCAGAAGGAAGTATGGACAAGCTGGATAGTTTTGCAAGTAACATGAAGAATTTATTATATACTTTTTTTAAAAAGCAAGCAGTATAAAATGAAGATTTGTGATTTCATATAGAATTTTCTTTTTTAAAAATTCTGCTGTGTATATGGAAATGCCCCTTTTTCTCTTTTTCTTTTGTTTAAATTCAGAATAATAAAAAAATACTAACCAACCTTTGAGACCAATACTGTCACTCTCTGAAGCTTCTCCTGATTTTGCAGTTGAAAATGGTTTTTCCTTCCTTGAACCTTTCCTAGCAAACAACTTTATAACTTTCTTGGGATGGGATAGGTCCGGATTTGTGATTTCATTGTTATAAGAAATTCCCAAAGAGGAAATGCCCTACCAAAGTAGGGCAGCACCTTCTCTGCATATCTTTGAGAGTTGCCTAGGGAGCACTGAAAAGTTGTGATTTGCCCTGAGTCATAAAAGCAATATGTATCAGAGCCAGGACTCAAACCCAGGCAATTCTGATTCAGAGGCCAGCTCTCTATTCAATATACTATGCTGCCCTTTTGTTCTTTTCTTATATGCCTATTTTCTTTTTAACATTATTATTTAATAGTCTATTTACATATATTTCATCTTACTCCCACTAGATTTTAAACTCTATAAGCGCAGGGATCATGTCTTAATAATCTTAGTATCTCTGCTAGTGTCTAGCATAAAACTTTACATCTAGTAGGCACTAAATAATAGGTATTGAATGAACAAATGTGCGACAGATAGTCTCTACTTCCAACAACAACAAAATTCCACATTGTTAGATGGGATGAAATGAAAAAGCAATTTTATATTACCTGGATTTAAGTTTCTATAACATTCATTTAGCTCAATGTAAATCTTACCCATGATCCACCCCACCTCTTCAAAAAATTTTTTTGCTAAGGAACCCACAAGAAAGTTCAGTATTTCTCTGAAACAAGATTTTTATGATTAAAAAAACCCAAACAAACCAACCTTTGTCTGTAAGCCAAGGGCATACATTCTGGTCAGTTCCTCCCATTTTCTCTAAAGAAAAGCATGAACCAAGAAATCTGTGAACACTATTCAATTTAAAGCTATTTAAGTGTAGAAATAAGGACTGTCTCTTTTGTGTTTGTACATAGTATATAGCACCTAACTTCACAGTAATTTTATAGGATCCTGTTTTTTTAAAAATTATTTGTTTTTAGTTTTCAACATTCACTTCCATAAGATTTTGAGTTTTAGATTTTCTCTCCCTCCCACTTATTCCCTCCCACCCAAGATGTTGTACAATCTGATACAGGCTCTACATATATATTCATGTTAAACATATTTTTCCATTAGTCATGATGTAAAGAACAATTAGAACTAATGGGAAGAACCACTACAATGAAGCAATAAAACAAAACAACAAAGGAAAAGGAGAGCAAATAGTATGCTTCCATATACATTCAGATTCCATATTTCTTTTTCTGGGTGTGGATAGCAATTTCCATCATGAGTCTTTCGGAGTTCTTAGATTCTTGTATTGCTGTGAAGAGCCAAGTCTATCAAAGTCAGTCATTCTATAATGTGGCTGTTACTGTGTACAACGTTCTCATTTCACTCTGCATCAGTTCATGTAAGTCCAGTTTTTTTTTTTAAGTCTAACTGCTCATCCTTTCCTATAGCACAATAGTACTCCATTACATTTATATAGCACAACTTGTTCAGCCATTCTGTTGGATTCTGGTTTAATGTTTCTGCCACAGGTGAGAGTTGGTTGAGAGGTAGACACCAAAGTTGAATGATCAAGTCCTCAAACTAGAGGTACTAGTCTCCCTGAACACCTAAATAGGCCTCAAACCCATCACTGAGTTAGGGGGATGTCTACCCAAAGCATGTGAGGACTTCCCCCAGGATGAATGGGCAGATGAGAACAATTTGTTCCAAAGGCCATGAAGGTGGCTATGCAGTTCTGCCTCACTTAAATCCAATTCACACACAAGGCAAGATATCACCTTTTGATGTCATTGGTTCTCTTTGAAAGGAAGGAGGAACAACTACAAATGTATAGGAATAGGAATTGGACTATGATTCCATTGATAAAAGAAAATCCCAAGTTAGAAATTTCCATTGACCAATTAAGATTGGTATCTTCTCTGTAATTTATCATCTTAAAACAGAACTGAGGGGTTAAGGGACTAAGTAAAAGGTTAAGCACAGGGTTGAAAGCCAAGATGTTTCAGAGGGAAGACTTAAATGAATGACCTCTTGGCTTGGAAGTTGGCTCCATACTCACTGCTCACCTCTCAAATATTTTATAAGATTAATTAATTTGTTTTTCTTACAGTTTCACCACAATGCCTATGAGATGTCTAATTTTGAAACAATCTGTTTCTATTGTATTTAGGCAACTTCTCCACTTTAAAGAATATGCGTTTAAATTTTAGAAATTGCCTGACCTTTATGATGACATCATACACAGTAAAAAAAAAAGCCTTTGAAATTAACTAAACATTAAACAGGTAAATATTTAACTGATTAAGCAGGTTAAGTGACTTCACGATATTCCAGCTCTTAATTTTGGCAATCACTGTCACCAATAATGACAATATAAAAATGATTTCAGGAAAAACTTGTTTGGAAAGCAGAATTTGGAGCTAGAGAACCAGCATTAAAATTCCAGCTCTACCAGAACAACCTAGGGCAAATCACAGTCTCACCAATCAGATCTCAATTTCTCATTCTGAAATGGAGGGGTTTGTACTAGATAGTTGATCTCCAAGGCCCCTTCCTGCATTAGATCCTATGGTTGGAGAATGGAAATAGAAAGTTGCTTTGCCTTATTAGGGGACTTAAAATCTAAAATAGACACTCTGGGGACAGACACGAATTTGCAACAGGTTCAGAAGTGATGAAATAAATGCAATATTTGCAGAAGAGCTGGAGTGGTTGTCTTTACAGTGGTAAAAAGGGAAAAGGTCAGGTGACACAGAGACAGAGACCGAGAAAGAGGTTGATTTGTCCCTCTAGGGAGGATCCTTGGTATTTGCCTGGCCAGTGAAAAAAATGAGAGGACCATGCATCACCAGGCTAATTGGTTGCTAGAAATGAATTAAGACCAAAAGGCCCGAGTTCAATAAATTAAACTCAATTCAATAAATATTTGTTAAGCCTCTACAATGTTCCAGGCACTGTGCCCTGGGAATACAAAAAAGGCTGGACAGTCCATGCTCTCAAGGAGTTTACAATCGAATTTTCCCATTCCCAGACAGCATGCAAACAAATATTCGCAGAGTAAGCTATCTACGGGACAAATAAATTATTAATCAAATTATAATTGAATAATTGAATAACTAAAAGAGGCGAAGCCTTGGAATTAAGAGATGCTGGGGAAGGTTGCTAGTAAAAGAAGGGATTTTAGGTTAGCCAGGGAGATCGTAATCAGAGCAGAGGAGGGAGAGCGGTCCAGGTATGGCGGATAAGGAAGGACAGCCGGAGATGACGGCGGGAGCCGAGAAACGGAGCTTCGTGTTCGTGGAACAGCCAGGAGCCCAATGGCACTGGATTGAAGAATACCTGTCAGGGAGTAAGACGTAAAAAGTCTGTAAAGGTATGACCGGGGCTAGGTTATTAAGGGTTTTGAACGCCAGAGCATTTTATATTTGTTCCTTGAAGCAATAGGGAGCCACTGGACTTCATCGAGTACAAGGCTAACACGATACGACATGTGCTTTAGGAAGATCACTTTAGCTGTTTAATGGAGGATGGACCGGAGGAAGAGGAGACCTGAGGTAAGCAGATCCGCCAGCAAGCTCTTATAGCGGCGTATTGTTTTTAGGGAAGATTCCGGCCGCCCCACTCGACCTTGACCGCTTGGGGACGGAGTAGCCCGAGGCGCAGCCGCAGTCGTGATTCGGAGGGATTCGTTTTGCGACAGAGGAGGGGCCTTGGCCGTAAAGCGTCGGGGCTTGTTGCGCTCACGTGGGGCCAGGACGCCCGCTCCTGCTCCGCTAGGCCTTGGAGGCGCTTGGCGTGGGGCCGGTGAGCTGCCATGGCGGGGCCGGTGTGCGGCGGGGGTGGTGGCCGAGCCAAGGCCCTGGACCTTCTGCGCTCTCTGCCGCGTGTCAGCCTAGCCAATCTGAGGCCCAACCCTGGCTCCAAGAAACCGGTAAATGGCAGCAGATGGAAAACTGAAATAATCTATGCGTCCTCTCCCCCGCCCCCTCTCCCCATCTCCGGGGGCGGCGGGGGGAAGGGAGGGAGTTAGGCTTGACTTGTGCCCCGCTTCCCTGGCCTTGCTGCCCCGGCTTGCGCCAAGATTCTGGTGTTCTGCGTGACAGAGTACCCGCCCCCCAGTTATGCTTTTGCTTAGGTCAGATAAGTGGCCCTCCAGCAGCAGACTAGCAAAAACATTGCTTTCATGCTCAGAACTGTTTCGAAGTTAAAAAGTGGCATCTAAGCTTCTCTCTCTTTACCTTGCTTGATCAAGACTTGTGCAATTAGCAATTTATTTTTATTTCGGACCTCTAATTAGATTGAGGGTTAAAAAAAAAAACACTCTACGGCGCAGGTAGGTTCTGCAGCTTCTGCATTTTCGGTCTTGTCCAGCATGACAGAAGTGGAATTTGCTGATCGGCTCTGGGTTGCTCTGTTTTTTTTCTTACGTTGAATCGGCTTGTCACTAAGAATTGCATTGAGACCAGCCTTGTTTCATTCACCTAAATACCCTTTATAGTTTGACACAAAAATACAACTTGGTAATTTACACGAAGTATCAGTGACAAGTAATTTTAAAAAAAACAAAACAAAAATAAGACTTAAAGCAGTTATATTCTTAAATAAGAGTTTAAAAACAAAAATATGAATGCAGTAGAACCTATTACAAAGAGGATAATAGGAAATATAGTTGTCAAGTTATTTTAGTAGCGTATTAAAGTATTTACTTTGTTTTGACACAGGTTTGACAATTCAGCCTAAGAGGTTGTTTGATCTCTAGTTTTCAGTTCACATTCTTAATTGTCTTTCATCTTTGAGCCTTACTTTTGAACAGTCCAAAGTTTATAGCTTGATTGTAGAAGTTTAGTCAGTTTTGAGTGGTAAGTTTTCATGTGTGGGAAGTGGGAGTGACAAAATAGAAGAAAATGACTGCAGATTTGCGCCTCTACAGCTTATGGTCTGAGAAAATAAAAATGTCCCAATGATGAAAATACACATATTTAGAAATTGTATATTACTGAGTTGACACTTGTTTTCTAGGAAAGACTAAGAAGAGGTCGGAGAAGAGGTAGAAAATGTGGCCGAGGACATAAAGGAGAAAGGCAGAGAGGAACCAGGCCTCGATTAGGGTTTGAGGGAGGTCAGACTCCATTTTATCTCCGTATCCCAAAGTATGGATTTAATGAAGGACACAGGTAAGTTTTGCTTAGTTTGTTTAAATTGAGATGACTAATTCATCATGAATCAACATGATATAATTTGGAGTAATTTTAAATTCCTTTGTTTTACAGAAGAATGGTAAACATGCTACTGTTTCATGGGCCAGCTATTGTACTACAATCAGACCTCAGTACTTTGGCCTCCACCTGATTTGATTATTCAGACAAAGCAACCAGGCTGAAGTTTTACTGAAATCTTTTCTTCTTTCTTAAATGTGAATTAATAGAGTTAAGATTCTATCAGATAAATTTTTTTTGCATATAAAATGAGTTATCTTTCTCTAGCAAATTACTGATACTGATATTTATTACATTATAGAAACTTATAATGCAGTATTAAATGTTTAGTTGAAATACTTAAGTTATTTGTAGTTCAGTTGTGTCCAACTCTTTGTAACCCCATTTGGAGTTTTTTTGGGCAGAGATATTGGAGTGGTTTGCCATTTCCTTCTCCAGCTTATTTTACAAATGAGGAATTGAGGCAAACAGGGTTGAGTGACTTGCCCAGGGTCACATGGCTAGTAAGTGTCTGAGGCTGGATTTGGACTCATGTCCTCCTGACTCTAGGCCCAGGATCCACTTCATCACCTAGCTGCCCCTAAAATACCTAAATCAGTCTGTTAATAAAAGATGGTATCAGAGCTTGACGGTTATTTGTTTAATTGGCAATGGGCATGGTAAGGGAGAAATAGGCAGATAGTAGTTTCCATTTAAAGTACTGCCTTCACCAGTATAACCAATATAACTTCACTCTGTTTTCAACCTCTTGTTTTTTTAGCTTTAGGCGTCAGTACCATCCTTTGAGTCTCAATAGACTACAGTACCTGATTGATTTAGGTCGAGTAGATCCTACCCAACCTATTGATTTAACCCAGCTTGTCAACGGAAGAGGCGTAACCATTCAGCCACTTAAAAGAGATTATGGTGTACAGCTGGTGGAGGAGGTACGTCTAAAATGCATCTTTTATCTTGCTATAGAAATTCTCTTCAATCGACATTTATTAAGGGGTACTGTGTACCTAAAGCTGAGGATGCAGAGACAAAAAATGGAAGTACCTGTCCTCAAGGCACAAACATAGATATGAACCATTATTGTATCTCTTAGTGGTTAGTATTCTGCATATACTACTTTATATATATATATCTATATATATCTATCTATGTATGTATTTTAATTAAAAGCCATGCTTTAATTGGTATCTTCAGTCCTTGGTAAGAAAATTCCCTTAACCAGTGCAGATCTACAACCATTCTGCAACTTAGTCTTAGAGGATTGTTGGGGATCCTGAGAGATTAAGTAACTTTTCAGAACCACATAACCAGAATGTCAGTCAATAAGCATTTTTTGAGAAATTCCCATGTGAGGCACTGTGCTAAGTGCTGGGGATACAAAGAAAGCCAGAAATCTACACACGCCTCCTAGGAGCTTATGTTCTATTGACACACAAGATACAGTGTAAGCGTGAGGTATTCCTCAAAGGAAAGCTCTTATACCTACCTCACAGTGTTGTTGAATAGATCAAATGAGATCCTAATGGTAAAGAGCTTAGCACAATGTCTGACAGAGTAGGTACTATAGAAATGTTAGCTGTTAATTGTTGTTGTTATTGTTAGTGTTGAGGGGGGTGGCAGAACTGTGAAAGACCTTATATAGGGGAATATAGGAAGCAAAGGGGAGAAAGAAGAATATCCTAGGCAGGAGGGCAACTATGGAAAAGCAAAGGTAGTATGTGAACCCACATTTTCCTAATGCCCTGCTGCCTTTTCTTAATGTGCATACATATAGAAGTATATATTTATATCTATCTACCTATACACATGCACAGTTTTATTATGAACTTAAGTAATTTTGCACCCCAAAGAACTAATGAGCGTTAACTTCTGAGTTATAGTTCTTTTGAAAAAAATCTAAAATTCTAATCACTTTAAATCAGAGTCACCAAATCCTCCTAGGATCTTTGTTTATGTAAGTACATATATTTTTACTTTGTCATAGTTAGTGCTTACGTGAAGGTTCATGTTCTAAGCCTTTTTCATTGAATATTAACTGGTTGCTGAGGCCTCTTCCAGTTCTCAGAGTGTGTGGTTATTTTAAATACCCCTTTGGTGCATATGACGCCATAGTCCACATACTTGACTTTTTTTTAATAGCTAAGTAGTCTTTTTCCTTAAACAGCGTTCTCATGGGCATTTTAATTTTCAGTTTTTTCCTACTCTGAATGGTGAACCTATAAGTGTTTTTTTATAATTTTTTTCCTTTTGGGTTATTTCTTTAGGGGTATATTTCCCATGGAGGAATTGCTGGGCCAAAGAGTACAAATAATTTTATAGTTCATAGGTTTAATCAGAGCTTGAAAGAACTTGAGAGGTTGTCAAGTCCAACCCTCTTATTTTTTTTACATTTTTTCATTTTTTTTCAACCCTCTTATTTTAGAGGTGAGGAAACTGAGGCCCAGAGAGGTTAAATGACTTGTCCAGTGTCACACAGCTAGTAAATATCAGAGGTAGGATTTGAACCTAGCTCTTTCTTACACCAAATAGAGTGCTGTAGCCATGACTTCATCTTACAGTGCCACTAGCAGTATATAATTTTCCTGAGATCTCTCTCAACTTTGGTTTTTAATAGTTGTATTAAATGGGGACATTCTTTTCCACTAAAGTTCTGCTGTCATGCTTGATAGTGGTGTGGAAGTGACTTGGGGCTCTCCAAGGCTTTGCCTGTGGAGCATAAGCCCTGGTACCTTCTGTTAATCTGGAACGTCTTTAAGTATCTGACCTAGTAGGTTTTGGACTATTTGTCTTCCCTCAAAACTAGTCCGTCTAAGTTGAGAGCAACTCATCTTCTGAAGATGAGTGTCCAAGGCTGACAATGATACCACAACAACTAAAGTAAAAAGCAGTCATGAACTAGATGAACGGAGGTTATACCCATGCCTGTAATCACCGAGTCCTTGATATGTAATGGTGTCATTTAATTGTCAGGAGAGCTATACTTTTTTTTTTGCTTGCAATATTTGCTATTTCTCTGTTTATAAATTGTGTTTTGGGAGGTTGAGAGGCTTAGACAGAGAGTTCTGGGACTTGATAGTCAGAAAGATCTGGTCAAGCCGTCTAATTTCTACCAAAAACTTATCTACAAATTCTCAAATGTGAACTGATGGTCATTTTCTATTAGTGAAAATTGTGTTCATATCTTTAACCATTTATCCAGTGTAGGTCATTCACCCTTATTTATTTTCTTTTTAAACGCAAACAGGTTGTCTAAGTGTAACTAGGTTAAAAAATGTTTATGAAAAATATGTAGATCAAATTTTTTATAAGTCATTCTATTTTAATTGTACTAATGAAGTTTGCCACTTAAGGAGGTACACTGTTAAGTCCTTGTAAATTTTTTCTACCTTCACATTTCTACTTAACTAGTGGATGGCAAATAATGTCCACTAGAGGGAACTGTGTATTCATATTAAACTAAAGGTATTTGCAGGTTCCTTTGGAAAAATGAGTTCCAGGAATGTATGGAACGTATAAGTACCAGAATTAAGGGTCGTAGAAAGAGAGCATCAAAGACAATAGGAAAAAAATCCTTAATTTAAAATCTCTCCTCAAGAGGAATGAGATTAATTCTCTTTCTGTAATATGATAGTATCTTAGAAATTTTAAAGATTCCCCCAGGTTGTTTTAATGTATTAGTTTGTGAGCAATGAAACACCCGCTAATGTAATATCTATGTTACTCATTACTAACTTATACTCATTACTAACTTATACTTAAGGCCTTTCATAGTGTAGTCACACTGTAGTTGAAAGACAGCTTGATTTGGTGACACAACCTAGGTTTAAGTCATCTGCCACTTACTACTTATGCTGTTGGGCTAAACACTCTCTGGCTCTCAGTTTCCTCATCTGTAAAATGTAGGGCCTAGATTGAGACTTTGGTCAGTAACTTTACTATTGAATTTGGAGTAGTATATTCTCCTTTTTCTTTAAATTAAATCTTGTCATCCTCTGGCTATTAATACTGGAACCTCTCTGTCATCTAGATCTGCTGATTCTGTATCTCTCACATTTGACAAAATAAAGAAAGGTTACTAGTCATCTCCTGGTAAAATGCCTTTTGATAAAAGGGTAGGTCAGATTGAAACTTCTCCCATGTTTGGGGAAAGCAAACGGTGTGGTAGCTCTAGATGTAGACACAGAATGAGAAATGATAGTGATCCTTGGTTCCACCTTTTCTTTCTGTTAAGGACACCACCTTATTTCTGGTCTCCCAGCTCAAAACCTTGGTGTCATCATTGACTTCTTTGTTCTCCCTCATTCAGTCATTTGCCAAGTGCTAACTATCTTATTTCCACAGTATCTCTCCTATTCCCATCGTGTATCCTCCATCTCTCACCCTTCTTTCTCTTTACCGTAGTGCAGTCCCTCATCACGTGTTATCTAGTCCACCGGAATAGTCCTCTAATTGCTGTTCTTGATGCCAGTTTCTCTTCTTTCCAGTCTACCCTCTGTACTAATTAGTCTTCAGAGTGGTCACAGGGCTGGGCCCCAAGAGATGTGTGTTCAACAAGTTGGAAAGTAGAAAGGATGTATTGCAATCTATTCTCCCCTTGATAGTTTATCATAGGATTTGTCTCCAGTACAACCATACCACCTCTTATTCTTCTAGTTCCTTCTTCTCTGTGTGAGCTCCCAGACTCCTCCTCACCCCCACACCCCTTTGTCAGGAGTCAGACTCTTAGTGTAGTTAGACTCTAACCCCAACCAGGGTGCCCACAACAACAGCTTTGGAGGTGCCATTGGGAAAATTCTCTTCCTCTCAGTATACCCACCTCTGCTTCCCAGACCCCCCCCCATTCCAAACTTATCTATTACACTTGATAAAACAGCCATCCTTCTAGTCATCCATGTTCATAACCTTGGTGTCATCCTCAACTCTTCATTCTCCCTCACTGCACATATCCATTCAGTTGCCAGATCTTATAATTCCATATCTCTCCTGTCTGTCTGCTTCTTTCTTTTCACCACCCTAGTTCAGACTCTAATCACTTCTGGGCTGGACTATTACAATGGCCTCCAAATTGATTTCCTACCTCAGTCTCTTCTTTCTAATCCATCCTTCACCACAGTGGTTTTCCTGAAAGGAAAATTTGACCATGTCGCTCTCCTACCCACACTCCAGGTGCTCCTTGTTGACTTTAGAATCAACTACTTCTTTTCTTTCTAGGTTCATCTAAGATTCTTTCATAAAAGCCTTTCTTGATTTGTAACCTCTCTTTAAAGCAGGTGCTTAATAAATACTGAATTAATAGATTTACAGGAAAATGACTTTAAATTGTTTGGAATGGGAATTGCTAGTATGAGTTAACTTTTTACAATTCAAGCATTTTTGGGAATAAATTGCAGTTAAGCTGAAAAAAATAAGTGTGCTGTAGTCAATTCCTACCCCCACCCCCAGATTCAAATATTTTATGATTATCTGTAGTAATTGATGTTGTTTTAACTCATAACAGGGTGCTGATACCTTTAAGGCTAAAATTAACATTGAAGTGCAGATGGCTTCAGAGCTAGCTATAGCTGCAATTGAAAGAAATGGTGGTGTTGTTACTACAGCATTTTATGATCCAAGAAGCCTGGGTAAGTTTCGTCTGTTGTTTTCCTGCTCTTCCCTTCATAATAGATAGGCATAATAGATGCCCAGTGACATATGTCACATGTCTCTTTAAATCCTGAACATAAGAAGCTGCTACTAGTTTACTTGCATTTGTAACATGGAAACAACAGCTTATTATATTCTACTGTGGGAAAATATTATATACATGGGTAAGTTAATATAAAATATGTACAAAGTAATTTCAGGGAAAATGGAGCACTAACAATTGGGCAGATTAGATAAGGCCTAAAATAGGAACTATCATTTAACATAAACCTTGAAGGTAGCTAGATATTCTAAGCCCTGTGTTGATTTTTACAGTTCTCCTTGTTTGTTGTTCAATCATTTCAGTTGTGTCTGACTCTTTGTGAGTCCATTTGGGGTTTTCTTGGCAGAGATACTGGACTGTTTCGCCATTTCCTCTTCAGCTCATTTTACAGATGAGTCTTCCTGACTCCAGGCCCAGGGCTCTGTGCACTGTGGCACCACCTACCTTCCCTAGATAGCTCTTTTCTAGGTATCAAGTTGTTTGCCATCATTTCCCAGTTAGTCAGCTTGTTTTTAGTTTGAACAATTTACTTAGATTATTATAAAAATCCTTGAATCTCCACAGTCCTTCCAGTTAGGCTTCTAAACTAGAAATTACTGAGATTAATTAAGGCTTTCATATGTTATTCTTTCACATAAACCTATAGCTTTTCCAGACCTCTTATTTTTTTTCATTACAGCATTTATTACACCAGACTTTTCAGGGTATAACCAAAGTCCTATATCATTTTCAGCTCTGCCTCTTATTGATGAGGTTGGATTTGTTGACATTAGAAGTCCATTCCATTTTCAGTCTTATGGTGTTGGTCCTAGGTTAACGATGACCATAGATGAGACTCAAATCATATGAAAATAAGACCTGTTCTTTTTATTTGTTTTGAAATTTTAATTTGACATGTATTTTTATTATTTATTAATTTATTTTGAACTTAAATATTAAAACTTAAATATACAATAAGAAAAGAAAAAGGAAATAGATTGTAAACTTAAATACAAAATTTTAAAAGAACATTGCCATGTGCACAGCAAAACGTGAGAGGATTCAAAATATACAACAGTAAATTTCCATTTTAGGAAAGTCTATATAATAAATACTACACATTGTGTTCAGAGTTGTCCATTTTTGCTTCTTTGTAAGTTTTCTTTTGTTCTCTGCTGTGCACTTTTTTCCTTTTTTCCCCCTTCCTCCCCACTCTTCCCCAAGAAGGCTATAATTAAGCGTGGATACACACACACACACACACACACACACACACACACACACACACACTCACACACACTCTTAGATATCTGTAATCATACTCATATAGACACATCCATTCATATGCATCTGTGTAACACTGTACTATACTTGTTTGTCCTCTGTTTCTCTGAGGATGGATATCATCTTTCTTTATAAGTCTAAGTCATTCAATATTTTTGTAAGTCCACCAACTTATCATTTTATGCACTGTGGCAATATTCCAACTTTGTACTGTGTAGTTATTTCTATCTAAAACAATATTGATTAATGTGGCTGACATATAGTGTAGTTTCCCTATTTTTCTTTTTTGATTAAATCTATTTTAGCTTTAACTTTGTCTGAGATCACGATTACTACCCGTTTTTTTCCTGTTGAGCTTTATTTTATGTTTGTGGTGTATCTCTTTTTTTCCTATCCCTCTTGACTCCTCTACTTCTGTCCGCTACTTTGCCCTCCCTTACTTAACCTACCCCCCCCCCACAAGTCCCTCCCTTATCCTCTTCCCCTGACCCTTCCCTTTACCCTCTTGTTTCTCCTTGAGCTGAGAGTTTTGGAACTTAACTGTGATTTGCCTATAAGTTTTGCTCATAGGATCTCTTTCAGGTGGTGATTGGTGGATTTTTTCCATTTCTACTTTTCCTTCTTGTTCTGTTGCTTCAGGACAATTTAATTATTTCTTGTATTCTTGTATCGAGATTCTTCTTTTGATTATAGCTTTCAGGTAGTCTGATTATTCTTATGTTTTCTCTTCTTGATCTGTTCTCTAGAGCAGTTGTTTTTCTTATGAGATATTTCACATTCTCTTCTGTTTTTCATTCTTTCTATTTCGTTTTATATTTTTATATTTCTTGGTGTCTTATAACTTTGCTGACTTCCCTTGCCCAATTCTAATTTTCAAGGAGTCATTCCTTAAGATTCTTGATCTCCTTTTTTCAGTTGATTGACTTTCTTTTCATAATTTTCTTGTTTTTCTTGGATTGTTTTTTCTTAATTTTCCACAATATCTCTTATTTGATTTTTAAAATCTTAAACATTTTAAGGTCTTCTGTGAGTTCTTTTTGGGCAAGTGACCATTTGACATTATTCTTTGGAGTGGGAGAGGCCTTTTTTGTTTCAGTGTCCTCTTTTGAAGAAGAACCCCAGTTCTCTCTATTCCCTAGTAACTTTCTATTGTATTCTTTGTCCTTTGCCTACTCATTTTTTTTTATTTGTAACAGCTTATTAATGTAATTACCTCTAGTCCTGGGGTATGGGGGATGGTGCCTCTGGCCTCAGATCCTCCTTCAGTTCTCCCCTCTGGCCTCAAACCTGAAACCAAGAACTCAGACCTTCTGTAAATGCCCACAGCCAGCTCTGTCCCTGCCCCACTTTTTCTGCACTGAATGGGCCTGTGCTGGTTCCTTCTTGCTCAGAGCCCAGTCTTGGCATCACAGCTGAGTCTGGCATCCTTTATCAGCAGAGGTTCCCTTAATCTCAGATGCCCAACTCCACACACTGCCCAGGAGGTGAAAATTCTTGTGGTTGAGGCCCAGTCTACCTCTTAACCCAGCTGGCCACAGAGCTTGCTGCTTGCTGTTTAAGCAGGACTAGCGTGGAGGTGTTTACTCTTCACAGGGACCAAACCTTGTTCCTGAGATTTTTCTTTGGATCTTCTCAGGTTGTCCCAGGAGAACCACTGTTCTGCCCCAATTCTTTTTATTTTTACGGCTCTCCATTCACCCAGAGGTGCTGTTTTGTCTTGTTTGTGGGGGACATCTGGAGAGCTTGGAATTTTCTGACCTGCTCTGCCATCTTCCCAGGATCCTCTCTCAAGCATTTTTCAATTGACAAACATTTATCTTTCCCTTCTGCCTACCTTCTCCACACCCCCCCCCAAAAAAATAAAAAGAAATATAAAACTTTTGACAAACGTAGTCAAGAAAACAAATTTCCAAGTTGGCCATGTCCAAAAAAGATGTATGTCTCATTTTACATGTTGAGTCTGTCATCTCTCTGTCAGGAGTTAGATGAACTTATCCCTTTTAAAAATCCATTTTCATTTGCTACAAAGTGTGCATTTAAATGCTAATGTTTAATATTGGTCTTTGGAAGGTAGATTACCTAGTTATGTTTGCTTTTGAGGTAAGTATTTAACAGAAGCATTGTTAGTGTTAAATTTATTCTTGATTTTCTTGGCATGGGAAGATGAATTAAAGAAAATTTGTAGCTTATAAAAGAAGCTAGTGATCTACGTAGCTAATGTTTATATCTCCATTTTAAAAATAGAGATTCTCTGCAAACCTGTTCCATTTTTTCTTCGTGGAAAACCTATTCCCAAAAGAATGCTCCCACCTGAAGAATTGGTGCCGTACTACACTGATGCTAGGAACCGTGGATACCTGGCAGATCCAGCCCAGTTTCCTGAAGCAAGACTTGAACTAGCCAAGAAATATGGTTACATTTTACCTGACATCACTAAGGATGAACTCTTCAAAATGCTGAGTACTCGAAAGGATCCAAGGCAGATTTTCTTTGGTCTTGCTCCAGGTTGGGTAGTAAATATGGCTGAAAAGAAAATCTTGAAGCCCACAGATGAAAACCTTCTTAAATACTATAGCTCATAAATTCTAAACTTAGTGAAAAAAGTAGTCTCAGGAATACTGGGAAAATGAGCCTAGAATGCTCACAGTTTCTTGTTTCATTTTCCTGTTCCACCAGACTCAAAATGTTGGGTACTGGGTTTTGGCATAATTCATTTTTCCTTTTTTTTTAATAGGTAAAATCAAAATAAAATGTCTATGAGAAGCCATATTGTACAAAACTTAAGTCTGTGTACTATGATGAAACATACACACTCTTTTGCAGAATAGGCTTTGGAGACCAGACACGTATCCTGAATACTTTTAAGTAGTCAGAAGAAATCATTTAGTCAGAAGTTTTCTTGCATGCCTCATTTGTCCTTTTCATCACTGCATATTGTAGAATGTGTTTTTGTCGGGTGTCATTGACCCATAGGCTTATTTAGCAGGGGTTCAAGCACCTGAAGGGGTTAGTCTCTGAGATAAATTCCAACTCTAGCAACTGGAGGTCAGAGTTTGAGTTTTTATTTAGAAAAATTCAGATCATTACTCATATGGTAGTATGCATAGTGTTTGTGAAAATATTTTTTAATAGATTATTTCTCTTACTGACCTTATACCTTTTCACTACTGATTAAGCTACAGCACAAATTTTAAGTGACAGACCAAACAAACAATAAATGTGGAGACAGTGCAGAATGATTGAATTTTTTTCAATCAGTATACTGTCCCGTGTCTAAAAACGACAAAGTTCTGAAAATATAACTACATACTCATCTGGTGAATTTTTCTGTTGTGGGGAGTGCTTTGTCAATTTTAGCTTGCAAGTTAAAAAATGTTGAAATAAGATGATGCTATAATATAATGCCTTCCCTCAGGGAGAATGGAAACTTTTCGAAAGTTCTATTTTTGGAGTACTTAATGGCTACCTTATTTTTTTTAATACCTTCTTTTCTCAACTTTCTGACAGGCTCTTTGACACAGAAATTTTATACTAGTAATTTTAAGCCTTTTACCCTCTAGGATAAATGTAAACTTGGGCATCATTTTAAAGGTATTGACTTAGGCTGAGAAGAAAACATATTTGCATTCAAATTATTTGCACAGAAATTAGCTTCCCTATTGCATCCTATTCTACATCCTGGTTCTTTTATAAAGTATAAAACCTTAAATTTCAAGAGACACCTTTTGATTCTTTGAATAGCAGACTCTACTTACTGCATCCAATTTTGGTTATTTACTACCTTCTCTTATTTGTGCTGTTATGGGTTTCTCTTTTGTATGAATCAATTGACAATTGTATTTTCTGGAGGTCATGGTACTGCTCCAACAGGAAAGGTTTTCAGTTGGAAGTAAAGAAGGAAGTTAGTCACCTAAATGAAGACCAAAACAAAAGTGTTTATGCCATGTAACAATCTTAGAATGTATACTCTGGATCCCCTATTTGAAACAGAATGACCAAGTTATTCCTAGTAATAGTGATTTTTAAAAAAATTATAACCAAATGGATGGACATACTTTGTTGTGTTTGCCTTAAGAGGCCTACAGGTGAAAGGGAAACCCAAATAGAATGACAACCCAAAGAATGAAAACAGGAAACAGATGTCTGGTAATGTCTGGTGATGGGATAGCACTTACTCACTGAATGTGGGTTTAGTCACCAGACAGCTGTATCCTGACCTTAATGTTATAATGCTGCAGATACAACCAAGCCAGAACAGCCACGTTCCACCAAATCCGGCTATTCTCTTTTACAAAGGTAATCCTTAGATCACTGTACCTCACTGGGACACTTTGGGGTGCTTGAGTTACAACAGAATTGGTTTGTTTCCCAAGGTTTTTTCCCCCCTAGTTTACAGGTGCAGCATTTCTATATTATTCTGTCTATGAGCAGAAAGGATAATAGGGAGACATAAAGGATTTCCTGTTAGCTAATTTATCTTATTAGTCATACTAGTGCCCTGGCAATCTAAAAATCAAAGCACAAGGAAGTTATCTGCAAACTTTCTTCATTGGGAGTCAAATCTGTTTGTACTTGCCTTTCACCTCAGCAGCGTTTGTGCAATGCAAATAGGCTGTTTGTGTCTATGACCTGGAGTACTGGTGTTAAGAATGCTTTTAAAAGTGGTTTTTTTGACTCCTTAGAGAAATAATTACTTTGGATTTCCTGTTGTTAAGAATTTTTTTTTAAAATGTTACTATGCATTCTATAGAAAATGAAACGGCCCTGCCATAACAGGAAAAATACTTGTCAGATAACAACAGGGTAAAGCAGCTTAATTTCTGCCAGTGTTGTCAGAGAAGATTTTGTTTTCCATTGGTGTCAATTATTATTGAAAAGCCCAGGAAAGCTGTGTTTTTGAGCGATATCCTGAATTATTTTTTTTTGGTAGCCAGCATTCAGATTGTAAAAGAATGCTAAGATCTCCTGAGGGTATGAAGGAAATATATTTTAAAATTTGTTGTTTTCCAACAGGAGTTAAGATCTTAACTATTATAGAGTCAGTATGGTAGAAAAACATCGCATTAGTTTAGTTTCTGATTTTGCAGCTTTTTCTGCATTTCACTTGTCTTACAAAAGAACACTACCCTAAAGGTCTTTGAGATTTGAGAATCAATTCAGTTAGGTCTGAAAGCATGGGTAAATATGCACTTTCTTAAAATGAGATACATAAATGCAGAGCACTTATTGTTAAGAAAATATACATAGGTAAAAGTGAAACCTGGAATTGGATTCAATTTTAAGAACAGAAAAACTTTCTGTTTGTCATGGATACAAGTTTAATATAATTTAAACTAATTTCATGCCTCACAGTAGCTCTACTGAATTTGAAAAACATTTATCAGCTCCCCATTATGTTCAAGACAACTGGCAGGGACTATAGTGCAAAGATAAAAAGTGATGATCTTCTCCAGACTTTAGTCCGAGTGGAGATAGAAGGTGTGACATGTACACAAATAATTATAAATTTAATAAGGACAAAAGTGAGATGCAGATACAGTCCTTCAAGAAAAATTTTGGGGGGGCAGTTAGGTGGCACAGTGGATAGACTAGCGGCCCTGAAGTCAGGAGGACCCGAGTTCAAATTCGGCCTCAGACCAAACACTTGACGCTAGCTGTGTGACCCTGGGCAAGTCACTTAACCCCAATTGCTTAAAACAAACAAACCAAAAAACAAAAAGTGAGAAAAATTTAGAGAAGGATCAATCACTTGCTGTAGATATAAGGAAGGCTTTGTGAAGGAGGTGACAGCTGAGCTGGGCCATGAAGGAATATATTAGGGAGAGATGAGTTTCTGAGGATCATCCTAAATCTTGGAGTACCCAAACTTAGCTATCTTCTACTAAGACAACTGAAGCTATCTGAAGAGAGCCTTACTAACTCCTCTCTCCAAAATTTCACAGCATCATTGTTCCTTTTCAATTTCTTCCCAGTGGTCACAGAAAAGCTGCCTTTTAATCATTACAACTAATATCTCTACCTTCACCCTTGATCCCATTCTCTCCCCCTTTTTCCTAGCATCTTACCCTTACAGTCATTCCCTCATGTATTTTTAGTCTCTCTCTTCCACTGGTTTTTCCTGTCTACTTAAAAACTTATGCCAGTCCCCTCAACCCTTTTGCTATCTCCAGCTTCCATCCCCATTCTCTCTCTCCCTTCACTGCCAAACTTTTTTAAAAAGGTGCTTATGGCTCAGTTTACAGAATATTAGATGAAGTTTAAAAACAAACAAAAGGAAGCTCAGAAAAGGACCTCAAGAGTCTACCCTTATAGTCTAAGGGTTGTGTTGTTTCAGTTATGTCTGACTTCATGACCCCATTTGGGGTTTTCTTGGCAGAGATACTGGAGTGGTTTGCCATTTCCTTCTCCAGCTCATTTTACAGATGAGCAAACTGAGTCAAACAGAGTTAAGTGATTTGCCCAGGGTCACACAGCTAGTATCTGAGGCTGGATTTGAACTTGTCTTCCTGCATTCTATCCACCAGTTGATAGAGTACTGGGCCTGAGTCAGTAAGACTCATTTTCCTGAGTACAAATTTGACCTCAGACACTTACTAGCTAAGTTACTAGCTTACTGGTAAGCTTACTAGCCATTTCTCTGCCAAGAAAATCCCAAATGGGGTCATAAAGAGTTTGACACAACTGAAAACAACAACATTGAAGGTAGCCAGTGTTCCCTTACCATTTCTTCACCTATTGTGGTTTTCTATTCCCTGATCATCTTTTAGGAAACTCTTTGCAAACAAGAATCCTTACTATAGTATACCTGATGACTGGTCATCCAAACCTTGCTTTAAGAACTCTGGCAAGTGGAAACCCACTTCCTCTGAAACCAGCTATTCCATTTTGGAATTTCTCTAATTCTTAAGATATTTTTCCATGCTTTAAATCCAAATGGGCATCCTTTCAATTTCTACCCATTGCTCTTCCCCCATGAGAATAAAAGTTTAATATAAATTAAACTGATTTCCTAGTCCTGCCCTCTGGGGCCTAGGAAGATAAATACCCTCTTTCATGTGACAGCCTTTCAAATACGTGAACACTCATATTTCCCCCTAAGTCTCTTCTACAGGCTAAACGTTTCTGATTCTTGCAGCTGATCTTCATATTGCATGACCTCTAGACCTTTCAATTGAGTTGCCCTTCTCTGGACACTAAAGCTTATAAAGTTCCTAAAATGAATTGAACATCGTATTCCAGGTATGATCTGATTAGGGCAGAGCATATCCAAACAGTTACCATTCTAGTCCTCAACACTAGGCCTCTCTTTATGTAGCCTAACATTGCATTAGGTTTCTTGGTAGCTACTGGGTAGATTCATTCATTGATCTTTCAACACAATAAAATCCCCCAGAGATTTTTCTTACTTTCTATTGGCTAGCCTTGCCTTCCCTATCCTGTACTTACAAAGCCAATTTTGATTTAGCTCAAGAAGGAGACTTTACATTTATCTTTAAGAAATCGTATCTTATTTGGTCCAATGTTCTCTCTTGTTTAGATTTTTCTGAATTCTGACTCTTCCATCTAGTGTGTCAGCTATTGCTTTCAGCCTTGTGTTGTCTGCAAATTGACAAACTAACTCTGCCTTTTAGATCTCATTGAGAAAAATGTTAAATTACGGCCAAGCACAGATCCATAGGGAACTCTACCAGTGACACTCTTTAAGTTGGCAATGAATCACTAGTGACTACTCTTTGGGTCCAACCATTCAGCCAGTTTAAAATCCACCTAAATGTGCTGTCATCTAACCAATATTTTCTCCAATCTTTTCCACAACAGTAGTATGAAATACGTTAAATGCTTTGCTAAAACCTAGAAAAATTGTGTTGAAGGCATTTCCCCAGTCTACCAGTTTAGATATATTGTCAAAAAAGAAAATGAAGTTGGTCTGACATTGTGTGTTATTTTAATTAGTTTGTATGTTTTAATTTTTTTTTTTTTGGTGAGGCAATCGGTGTTAAGTGACTTGCCTAGGGTCACACGGCTAGTAAGTGTCAAGTGTCTGAGGCCACATGTGCACTCAGGTTCTCTTGACTCCAAACTAGTGCTCTATCCACTGTATGTTTTAATTTTTGTTTAATATTTTTAAAAATAATTATTTTTTTGTTCTAGCTTTGACACACACACCCCAACAAACATTTTTATGTAAACAAAAAAGAAGATTGTATATGAAGCCATATCTACTATGTCTTGCTTATTTTAAAAATATACATAATACAGACAGTATGATAATTTCAGAGCTGATTAGCTTGTTTGTCTCTGAACTATTATTATACAATTTAAAAAATTTATCAAGAACCATCTTTTTTCTTTTTGCATCACTATTATTAATTTTTCTTTAACCCCTCAAATCCTCCCCCAATTAAAAAACAAAAACAAAAACCCTGTCTTGTAACAAATGAGTATAGTAATGGAAAACAAATGCCAATATTGGCCACGTCTGAAAAAAAGGTGTATATTGTCCCTTAGAAGTACATCTCTTTTCTGTCGGGAAGTGGGTAGCATGCTTGATTGTCACTTATCTGGAGTTGTGGTTGGTCGTTGCATTGATCAGAGTTCTTAAGTCATGTGAATGTTTTATTGATTTTTTTTTTTACACCACAGACATTTCTGGATATGTCCCCCCTTCCACTCCCACTTCCTTGTAAGAAAGAAAAATGATTAAGCAAAATTAAA